TTACAAGAAAGCCTAGAAATACGCTCTTACTGTCGAGAAAACTATCCAGTTGCAAACATTACTGAAAGAAGCTCTAGAACCTTTTTTTCAAGCAGAAATCATCTTCGACTCCTAACTACTTTGCTCGTAACCAAAACATTCACGAACATCGGGATCTATTAGTCTACTAAGAGTACCAACTCCCTTACGTTATTTAAGTCTTCCTTTGCTAGGTGCACTCGCGATGTTTTGTTTATATTTTTCCTATTGTTGACAATAGTGGTGCGCTGCGCTTCTTCCCATTTTACGCCGCGTGCTGTATTAAACGCAAAGAATAAATTCCTGCTCCAAGAGCAAGAGAAAATTCGCGAGGGTGGTAGTACACGGGAAAGACTTAGTTATAGAGCTGCATCAATTTACGATCAAAAGCAGGAATCAACGAGCACCCATGTCATCGTAGTCGATATTGGTCCTTTGTATATTTCTCGAAAGGTCGTCGTGCACAGCCAATAAGTCTTGCGCATCGAAAGCATGACAGAAGAAAACTATGAGGCCAGACTAGGGAGGGAATGGTCAATCATGAGATATAAAAGAACTTTGAATGAATAAAAATGTTCTAAAGTAAAATATATATGCATTTTACCTAGAAATTGAAAGAAAATCGACATTAGTTCTCTCTTCCATTATTTTCATTTCTTTCGACACCCTCTCTCATTTGTTCTGCATGAATGAAAATCAAGTATATTTACCATTCATATGCTCTTTTCTCAGACTTCTTCTTTCTGTCGCAATTTTTTTTGTTTCCACGTCTATGCACTTTGGTGCCCACAATTTCAGAGTACTGCATAACGATTTAATATTCGGCTTACTATAATTATCATTAATTAGTATATCCAAGAAAGCTTTGTTTCTTTTTACATTCTTGACCCCCGGGATCATGACGTTTCAACTAATTCCTTGGAGTATAGATAAATCAGTAACACTCTCTGATGTTATTTAACTTTAGAAGTTTCCTAAGCGTTCCTCTACCTTGAGTTCATCATACTCCTTTGTCCCTATGACCATGTACTGCTCACCCAGTATGTAGTCTCACTGCACAATTAGTCTGCTGCTGCATTCGTACCATAACGCAGTTTTTAATATTGAGAGTACAATAATAATAATTATCGTCGATTACAGTCTCCGAGATCCCTTCCTTTGTCAATACGTTTTGACCATTCCGTTCTCGTCGAATAAACTGTCTATCATCCCTATTCCTTGGAGTATACAAATGTACTCACCTCATTCTCCGACATTAGGCCTACATCACTCTTTGATATATTTTTTACTTCAGAAGTTTCCTAAGCGTTCCTCGACTGTGCGTCTGACGTTCTCTCTGGCTTCGTAGCCACGTGTCTTGCTGCTCACTCGGTGTGCAGCGTCACTGCTCATTCGGTTCGCTGCTGCAATTGTACTGTAATAACATTTCGCATTGGAAATCCAGTAATAATTATTATCACCAGTTACTGCCTCTGATATCCCTTCCTTGTTACTTTTTAACGTTTTTACCATTCCTTTCACGTCGAATCAACTGTCCGATCAGCCCAATTCCTTGAAGTATACACAAATGTAGTCAGCTTATTCTCCGACATTAGGCCTACATCACCCTTTGATTTTTTTTTTACTTCAGAAGTTTCCTAAGCGTTCCTGGACTGTGCGTTTGCCGTTCTCCTCAGGTTCCGTAGCCACGTGCCTCGCCGCTCACCCGGTGTGCGGCAGCAGGCCGTCTGCCGCTTCGGGAGGGCGGGTCAGCGTGGGGCGGTGAGCGGCGGCTGAGCTCAAAAGGGCGCGCACTAAAAACGCGAGAGGTGAGCCGTGCGTCGGTGAGAGCGGAGAGAAGCGCGGCGCGGCACAGCGCGGCACGGCGCGTTTTTTACATCGGAAGTAAAAGCCAGTCTTTTAGCTAATGATCCACGACATTAAGAGCTGCGCGGACGCTGAAGGAGGAGGGAGACAGTAAGGCTAAATGGGCGAAAAGGCGCGCACAATGTTCTTCTACGCGTACGTGAGCCAACATTTTATTCAAATAAAAAAAAAAAAGAATGCAGACATCTACTACCGAGAATAAATGTGTCTCGAAGTAATAGGATTTCTTTTAATTGAAAAGTTATACTTCCGTCAATTGTAATTTTCATATTGCTCTTACCATTTATATAATGTTCGCTTTTACCTGTTTTTTAATGTAAAGACCATAAAGTCGACATTGTTGGGTTGAGATTAATAATTTTATTTTTAATATTTTTTTAAAAACATTCTAATACGTCTCTACACTCTGTTTCTATGCAGATGACCGGAAAAATTCCAGAAATTAGTTTTAGGTTATTTCCAAAATTTTATTTATTAAATAAAACCATTTGTATATTATTGTGGTTGATGACATCAACTCGGTTCTCTTCTACAGGACTAACTGCTTATTTAATTTACCACAATGCTTAATGTTTAAGCCTTATGTATAATTTGCGCCAGCGAATTGACTGGTTTCGTTCTACTGCCCTCCGCCGAGGGCGAGGGCAAGGTCGCGCACGTGACTGTCCTTCGCGCATCCTCCCTTTATCCATTTGCCCTTCGGAGCCGCCCCGGCCCAGGCAGTTGGCTGGCCTCTGCTGACCCTGCCTCGCTCCTCCACCCACCCACTTGGAAGTTGCTCTCTCTTCACCTCTCTCCTTCGCGGACTAATTCATCAGGCGCGCTAGTAAACTTTTCTTAAAGGCATTTGCGCACTGCCTCGCTTTTTTCAGTCCCACTATTAAGTGAATGAATTCTTTTTTTACTTATTGTTATTGCGAATGAGGGTGTTAAAAAAGAATTGTTGTTGTGTATAAGCCACATTATTCAAAATAAGACCTTAACGATGATATGTGTTTCATAAAATTAATGTTTGCTCACGTTCTCGTAGAAAATTATCTCTTGAGTTCTGTTGGGGGATAAAACTCCAGTTATGAGGAAAAACTTGAATTTCGCTATGTATTTAAAACTTTATTTTGCGAAAGCCACCATCAAATCAGATGCTACAGTAAGAAACATGAACACTGGAAATTTTATGGTTTAGCTCTTTAAACAATTCTGAAGCCAATTTTGCAATGTAATTTTACACATGGTACAATTTTCTTTCAACTTTCCTTGCAAAAGGGATACAAAAATCACGTGCATTGCTTACACAATAACTTAATGTTCGAAAACTGAATGAATAATTGAAAACGATTAACACGTATAGATTGAATTTGAATAAAATTAGTTAGTTTGATAATTTAGAAATATGCATCAATTTAGAAATATAACGACGTAAAGACGTCCTCGATAATCAAACGTTGTTTTTACATGAATGACTGGTAGTAATGGCTCCCGACGACCAACCGCAGCAACATAAATATTTACCATTAACCCAATTTATTCCTAAGCACACAAAGGAAGACAGACTAGTGGTGTCATACATAATGTAGTTTAGAAGCTCTATAAGCGTTTGATTTATCCAGATTTTTTAACAAGTACGAAGTTTGCTTATTTTGTAGCATAAACAGTATTGAGTCGGTTTGGTCACGTACAAACATAATTGAATGAAAATGCCACATTGTACAACGAAATGTAGAACTTTTTGGTTTTTCTCCTTCCATTCATTGTACCATGTACTCCATTTTCATCTTCATATCTCACTTAATCGCCCATCATTAAGCCTTTAACCGTATCATTATCTTAACGCAACGTCCATATAATTTAGAGGTGGTTCCGAATATTGTTGCAATAAGATGGTGGGAATGCGGAATATATAATTGCATTTTATTTCCGCGATTCCTGTCATACATATGTGTAATAATAAAAAATAAAAGTTATTATACACCTAATTTTGCATAGAACGACGATAAGCCTAATCATACCTTTAAAAAGTGCATATGTGGACTGTTGGTAAAATGAACCAAGAGTATTTATGTATGGCAGTGAAATATTATATGATATATTTTTTTAAAATGTTGACTGTAATTCTCTTAAACATTTATTACCAAAATTACTTAAAATGTTGTTTGGTTTAGATAGTGGCTGAGTATTGGCTTATACTAGCGATGCAGCTTTTTCGTCGAAGAACATGGCTCGTAAAAATATTCTGGCTGTAAACATATACCCCTGCTAAGGACACAGCTCCCGGAATGCAACACCAGCAATAAAAAACTATTATTTGTCTCTGCAATAATATATTTTAATCTTCAAAAAAAATTCGAATGAAACAACGCAGCAGTAAATTGTGCTGATTTCCAAAATAATTCACACTGCCATGTCACTCAAGTTCTCTTGACTACTTGGCATATTAAATAGTTTGTTATAATTAAAAATGGAACGGAAACGAGACAGACTATTCTTGTTTCAGACCTATGTTTTTCACCAAGAAATTTTGTTTTTTTTCTCATGAGTTAGGAAACTCTATCGTCTGATATCCCAGTTTTTTTGTCTCTTTTATATCTTTACTCTATCTTCCTTGCATCTCTGTATCTCCCCGGATGTACTGACATCCACTGACTTTTCTTAACTAACTGTATTGCAAATTGAACTTCTTCTCTTTCTTCTCCTCAAGTTTACTATGTCATCACTTTATCCTATTGAAGCCAAACTAGTGATAAAAAATTAATTTCTAACATCCTTATAATAGGTTAATTCTTTTTTAATCACATCTAGCTTAAAAATATCATTTCATTTTGCTTAGAATTTTCATCCACATAAAAAATGTTTACTTTAATTTAATTGTGTCCACCATGAGGCACGGTTCTCAGAACAATTTTGTCAGAATATTTGAATGAGAACAATCTAATTATGTATGTAGTAGTATCTCGGAATCCGTGGTATTAAATAAGCCATTTATCTCATTAATAGCCTTTATCTCATGAGATTAATATTAAATTATTAATCCAACTAAAACATTACACGATATCTAAAATCTCGTGGTATCTCTTTGTGCTCATCGGCTCAATTTCATTATTCTGGACTGGGGCCTCTTCATGCAGTTGGGAGTTCGCAATGAACGCTTTGTAGACCGGGAAACGGTAGGTTTCATTCCGTGCGGGTCATGATCTTAACTCAACGTGCATATAATTCAGAAGTATTCTGAATTGGAGAGTGTGAGGGTGATATCAAGTGTGAGGGTCACTATTCTTGTGTCTGGATGAAAATTCTAGTCCGAAAAATGAGCGTTTCCGTGTTTTGTACGATGAAATCTACCTTTGGTGTGAGGCCAGTTCCTCAAAACAATGAGTCACGAACCGCTTGCGAGTCTTTCTTACTCTGCCCGGTTTATACTTGTATCTATAAGACTGGTCGATGAAACATGTTTTCATCTCTGAATGGTCCATTCCCTGTGACATAGAAAGTATATGGCAGAACTGTAAATATACGAATGTAAAACCGAGTTGACAATACAAAAAAAAAACGTTTTCCTCTAATTGTAAAAGGTAAGTGACCCCACCATAGTCGATATGTGTCTTTAGATTTACAGAGGAGTTTTTGGGTTAAGTAGCCAAGACACCTGAAAGCGCGGCTGATAAGTCTCCATCGCGTTAATTGTAAATCTGTCACCGCCGTTATCTGCTAGATGGGACAAGCGAGCTTTTAGTAACGAATCTTTAAATTGACTAGCGGCATAAGCCAAGCTTGCAAATGTACTGGAAGTGTCAAGCTTGCAAATGGGTGTCTGGTCACTTTGATAGTGGTACCGATAACATATTCGACCTCTACATCTTTCGACTTTAATTACAAAATTTAATGTTCACCCTCCAAACTACGAAGGTTGTTTTACTGCTTCGGCAACGTGAAGAGAAAGGGAGGCCGAGGTTGCATTGTTTTTGCATTCTCCACTCTCCCGCTCCCACTATTGCCATCACAGTTCCTGTACTTCGCCCGCCACACTACTACCACCACCACCACCATCATCGCCATCATCTCTGTCACCAACCACAACGCTCCCACTACCAATATCGTCACTTCTGTAACCCACCCCAACGCTCCCTTCACCGCCACCACGACCACATCTGATATCCGTCCCAATGCTTACTCCACCACCACCACCTCTGCCTCCAGCCTCACGACCCCGACAGCGCCACTATCACTACTGTCACCCACCCAAAAGCTCCCACCACCGCCACTGCCACTGCCACCACCGCCGCCGCCGCCGCCGCCGCCGCCGCCATCGCTGCCGCCGTCGCGCTGCTTCAATGGCTTTGTTGTGTTTGGTTTTCTGAGCGTCCCGTTCGGTGATAAACTGGCTAATGAGCCGTCGCGTATGAAAGAGCTTGATTACGTGCAGCCCCTCCCACACCGCTTTGCCCGCCGGCACCACCGGTGACTCCTCGGCCCCGCCCTCTTTACCTTCGCCCCCCTCCCCCGCGCCGGACGGGCTCTCGGCTGTTAACGAACTCAATTAGCTCTATCTGGAAGCGCATCGCGAGCGTTGACGCCCGGGTTCCTCCCCCTCCTTGAATTCCCCTGTCCTATACGTGTTCCCTTCCCCTCCCCATCGATCCTCCCTCATCCCATGACCATCTCTTCCTCCCATCCTCTACTACCCGCCTCTCCCTCCCACATTTCCCTCCTCAACTCTTCCCCTTTCCTCTCCCTGTATCACCACTCTCCCTGTTCTCGTCTTTTCTCCTCCTCTGCCAGTTCTTCCCTCCACTTCCCATCCTTATTGCCCTTCACCACTCAGGCATCATTCCCTTCTTCTCCTCCCTTCATACCCTTCTAGGTTCCGACATCCCCTCTCCTCCCAGAATTTAATTCCACACCTTCCCTCTACTGTCTTTCGCCCACTCTCACGCCTTCCTCTCTCCACTCCGTCTTTTTTCCGCATCCGGACTTCCATTGGTACTTTTGATTTCCTCTCTCCATCTTTCCTTCCAATTCCCGCCAGCATTGCTACCGTCTCTACAGTGACTCTGACCTGGAGGTCCTAGTATTTGAGTCTCAACGGTGACTCATTGTCTACTCTAGCTGTATACCTAGGTCCAATTCAGTCACTGACCTGTAGTTTTCCGTGGTGCCTCCGATCATCACCGAGCGAATACCGAAGCAGTTCCGCAAATATTGCACCACGGGCCAAGCGATTTTTCCTTTCTCTTCCTTGTCGTATACTCGCCTCTTAGAGCTTGTCCCGGTTGTGCGGCGCTCCGCCGATGAAAGCTACTTGGAGGAGGAAATTCCCCACATTACGAAATGTAGAACGGCGCTGGATCTCACATTCAAACGGGGGAAGAACATCGTTCCTCATAGGATGTAACACGCACAGCACGAACGGATCTAATGACCATAGCAGTTGACGTTCCCGGAACCGTCAATTAATCAATCTATCAACCAGTTCCGACTACCCTTTCCCCTCCGCGGGTTCCCCCTCCCCTTCCGCAGCGACGCACCGGGTGGCGCGGCGGGGTAACGCGAGCGCGCCGCGCCACCTGCGCCATCAAGGGTATCAATTAAACGGCGGCGTCAGGCGCTTACGCCGCGTGTGTCAGCGGGCGAACGCCGACACACGGGTCGGCGATGCGAAGCCCGGCGACCGGCGCCGTTTGGGAATACGGCAAGGCGTAGGGTGGGTGGTGGACGGGGTGGGGTCGGGAGGGGTGCGCAGGTGATTGCTAGAGAGCGAGGTCCCTGGGCTGCGTGAACTGAAAGACTGACAAAGTTGCTAGAAAGGAGAGGAACAGCACTGGGGATCATACGTAAAATTAAAGCTTTGATGTTCTCTGTCTCCAGATTAACGTTGTTTTGTGTCGTGTACGATGTACGCGATGGCTTTGTAACGTGATTCGTTGGGAGTTGGTCGTGGAACATGGGGACTTGTGTAACTATGTACTATGGCTGGTTGCGAGCTGTGGATTGTGATAGACGTATTTATTTAAAGATATTTAAATAAAGTTTGCTTTTATATATATATATAATTCTTTCTATCACTTTGCATTACCTTTATCTATAACTCAAGTGGAAATTGGCTCATAAATCGCCTCGAGAAGTTCTTGATTAATAACTTGCAGGATAATGAAACTTTAAATTAAAATAAATATATCATTTTGATAACTACTTAGAACTAATTGACATTACCTTTTCATTATCATTTCATCATTTTCACAAATCACTATTTAATATAAAAATACAAAAAAATGAACTCCGTGGGTTACAGCTACTGAAAGTATAATATATTGTGTATTTATCACTTCTAGTGGCATATGTCATCGCCAAATGTTTATTTTTTATTTATTTACTTTAGAAACTGTAAAAAATTGTTTATAACGTGTTCAAGATATCAAAAAGCGACCTTTTCGAGTGTGATTTTATGTGTGGGAAGTAACTTTATTATGAATGTGAGTGTACATTGCAATACTAATTACCAAAATTATTGCGCTAATTAGCAATTACTTAAAAATTCTATCTCTATTGTTTTTATTAAAAACTAATACTCGCCTGTTAAGTGATAATTCCACTGATCTGAAAAAAATTAAAAATATGTTCCTTCACAAGTTGAAAAAATTTTGTTTGTCTATATTTAGAGCACGTAAAATGTAGAGCTGAATACCACTTCTGATATTGAAATCTGATTAGAATTTCTTCATCGTTTTTCGCGCGACAACTCGTAACCAGAGGGGCTTGCATAGGTGATGTGTGGTCAGCACAACGACTCCCGTTGACATCCATCTCGATTTACTGACTCCACATTATTATAATGACGTCACATTAAGGTAACTTCTCAATTTGTACTTACGAGGCTAAGTGCACCCCATTCCAGACCCAACCCTAAGGTGAAAATATATACTAACGATTCTAACCTCTACACTTCGGAGGTGGTTATTGAAAGTTAGTTTCTTGGTTTAAAATCGAGTTATCAATCACTAGCCCAATAACAATTCAATTTTCAGAAGTATATGGAAGTGGAAGAATGTTGGTTCCTGGGTCTTCATAGCCAATTCCAATATATAGATTTAAAATTCACTTTGCCAATATCGTTGGTATCGGTGATCCCTCACAACACTTTGTACTTCAATGAGAATTTTCTCAAATTGAATTACATTTTCCGAAATTCAATTTTACTGCAAATAATGATAAATTTAACCCTATCAGATAAGCATGAAGGCTCTCAGAAAAGCATGAATGTTCCAGTGTGATATCTATAAAACTACACCGGTGTCTTAAAGTATCGTTACTCCAAGGTAATTGCACTCCCATAACACACATATCTTTAACAGTACAGTGATATTCGAGGTAAGTGGAATTCGAATGAAAGACGTACAGTGATCCGAAATATGAAAGAAACGTATGACTTAGCGTTAAAACGGTTACTTTGGCCGCACTATTGAACGGAAGGACTTACGAGTACTGTCGGTAGCGGATATTCGTCACGATCTGCACAGTTGGATCGAATTTCGCCGCTGGTTGCAGACGTTTAGCGGCTGGTTGCTCTGGTCGGTTGTTTTCCGTGCTTTCTTTGATATATTTTCTTCTACCTTAAGAAACGGGTCACGGACCGCATGTGATTTTTCTTTTCAAATTCCTGTCTTATCTACACCTCTTATTTACTCACATTTGCGCTTACATTTACTGCCCTACATCACATGATGAGAGACCCGTCGGGAGCTTCGAACTACCCCTGCCTGGGACGTATCTGCGGGGGAGATTCGTGTATCAGTTTTCGTATTATTTATTTATGTATTTATTATTTATTTATTTATTTATTTATTTATTTATTTATTTATTTATTTATTTACGTATATCAAGTCAAAAAAAAACGAAAATTGCTGGAGGTGAAGGTAAATTAAAATTGTGCACACTGTGAGCGCCGAAATACCTAACCTCCGTTCGTTGATTATTCTAAGTTTAATTATGCAGTTAGCATTGAACTCAACAAGCCTAATGCTCGGTCTGTCTTTATGTCCTAAATATTCACTGTTAAACAAGGGAGTAACACGACAAGAAATTAACCTTACAATCGCTGTAATTACATTAACAAGTTAAAATTTCAAAAATATGTTCTGAATGTAATCCTAGACCTTCAGCTTAGCAAACGAATATATACGTATAACAAATGTTTTGTGATGTACAACTTCTAGTCGCGAAGTATTCATTTTGTTCCTCGTAACGCAATGACTTTCTGCCAGCAAGTCGCGTGCTGAAATTTGCGAGGTCATTGGTTTATTTCACTTTTTTGGGGGAGGAGGTGAACTCTCTTCGGACTCATTTGGATGTGTGGGCACCGCGGCTGAGTCGTTCAAACGCCTATTCACGAAGACTCCACCGCAGAGCAGGAAGAGTAGAAGGCAGAGAGAAAAAATCGCATAAAGAGGCCGCTGTTAAACTTTATAGGTCGGCTGTCGTAGGTCATTTGAAATGCTGATATTTCGTTTTACAGTCGCGCTTACAAGTGTTCTCAGATTGCGCGGGAGGCGGCGAAGGCTGAAAATAACCTCTGTGGAAAGTCGACCTGCGCGGGACGCCGCGCCGCGCCGCGCGTGTGGCGCTGGAAAGACGGGGTGGGGGAAGGGAAGATGGGAGCAGGTGAGAAAAGGGAGCTTAGTTGGAATGCAATACTCTGGTTGGATGCCTTGGATAGGATGGCGGTGAAAAAATAAGACAGCTAGTATTGACAGCTAGTATTGAAGAAACATCGGAACGAATGATGAAAATAACATGAAAGTTAGAGAGAAATTTATTTTGAAATATTAATATTTGCAATAATATTTGGTTTTGAAATGAAATAATGGATATTATGCGAAAAATGGTCGAATACTGTCTATAGACTGTGGTGAACGCGAAGGGAAAACAATGCTGAAGGAAAGTGTGATTATGGTTTTCATTTAACCTGACATTTATTGTTATATTTAAATTATCTTGAAATATTTGACTTTAAATTAGTTTATTTGTACTTTTTTTCCTAGAAAATAATGTCTAGCTTGATATTTGTGATTAATAATAATGTTATTTGTTATTACTAATTATTGAACATAACAGTGATACTTGTGTATGAACATTTTACATTCGTTTATTGACTTTCTCTGACATTGATGGTAAGTGTGTGCTCGAATTTTGTGAACTGGTGATCCAACTGTTGTCGACGACTATTTGAACTAAAAACGTCAACTTCAAATTAGAAAGTTCAAGCTAGTAAATTTTAGTGTTTAGTATCATTGTAATTGGGATCAACATGAAGTTGATACACATTAATAATAATAATAATAATAATAATAATAATAATAATAATAATAATAATAATAATCGTTAAAATATTATTAATGCATTTGGAGCATTGCTAAGAAAAAATATTAGTTATTCGATAATTAATAAAATATAAAACCTACACTTCTTCTTCACTGATGACATTCTACATGCACGACATTCTAATACATAGAAAACCCTCCTTAGCACATACGTAACACGAATTTCCCCGGAACACGAAATAAATTGGTAATTTGTATACATGAGGGTTACTGTATTAAGAATACAATAGAGTAAATCCAGAAAGACCTTTAAACCGAAGTCTTAGGTTTCCGCGGCCAGAGTCATGTGCATGGTCGTGGCTGTTTGGGTGACGCCGGGTCCAAAGGCTGTGTTGCCGACCATCTTGTCGTGGTCTGCCTCGCATACCATCCCTGAGGAAGACCATGACAAGATGGTCGAAACGTCGGCAACACAGCCTTCGGCGCGGCGTCACCCGGACAAACACAATCATGCACCTTTCAACCGTAGCCTTCCTCTTCGGACATAATAACATTGCAATAACTTAATAATACTTTTCGCTTCGTTTGACTTCAATACGGCCATTGCGAAGACGTAGACCATTTGCCGCTATTCGTCATCCAGAAATCAAAGCAAAGTAAATTAAATTAAAATCAAAATTAATATAGAAAATAGTCCTCATCCAAAAGATATTCCATGAGAATTCATCGCTCTATTTACACAAGCAAAATTAAAAGCACCCCACATGCAAATTTACTCGACTCTTCTCTCTAGTCACCATCTTACCTAAGGTTGAAGTTGTTGTTAAAAGAAGATGTTTGTTCAAGTCTTCAAATGATACAATGCTCATCAATAGGACAAAACGCTCTTTGCGTATACCGCTTAATCAATAAAGCTGGCAAGCTGAGTGTTCGGGAGGCAGCGCGAATTCGTAACTCGGCCGCCATCCGCTTGGGGCAGCGTTCGGACCGGACGCCTAGGCACCCCCCTCCAACCCCACGCCGAGTGATGCAACGGCGCAAATTAATAATTAAAAATTAATATCCACACAAGCGCGCGCTCGCGGACGCGAACACCGCCCCCGGAAAGCCAGCGGTTTTTTGTGCTAATTATATGAATTCAATAACGAAAATAATGAATATGAAGCGGAGGTTTTCCGCGACGCGTCAATCGGCTGCGCTGTCAGTGCCCGCCAGGACGCAGCACTGCGGGTTGGGAGAGGGGAGGGGGAGGCTGTCCCAACGACAAGTGTGTGAACGCACAGGCTGTTCGGACAAAACACGCTCATATAAAAAAAAAGTCGAAGCTTTGAGAGAATTGGAAATATTACTCATTTTCATGGGGTGAGGGGAGAGCGGCGCATGCATGTTTCCATGAGGGATGGACAGGTTGACAGTACATTATGAATTTGTAACCTACATTAATGTTCTATATTTAGATGATGGTACGATCTAATATTTCCGAAAAAATTAAATAAATGTAATCCTCTTTCCTTTTTTTGATTTGGGTGTTCTCTTGATGAGTATGTGGAGTTTGTAAACGATGGCTATAGTACATACAATAATTAGTGGTACCGATGAAGATGGGTACTCTGCGATTTAGTGGGACGTTGTACATAAAATTTAAATTACAAATAGCGTCATAATATTAATTTCTATGTGCTTAAAAATAAATAACAAATTCTAAACTAATGTATCTGAAAAATGCCTTGTTACAAAGTCAATAGAAACTATGATCTAACTTGCTCTATTAGTTTTCACTTATCCAAACTTTGCTTTGCATCCGAGCAAAATACATTTGCATGAATTTGCTCATTATATGACGGAATGGCTTCAAGTCTTCACCGCAGGTGTTGAGTTTTGATGTAAACAATGCAATATCCATAAACTAAAATGTAAAATCGTGTTATGACACATCAAAGAATTGTTTGTAAACATTTAGAACGCTCATTCTCATGAATGTATTGAAGCTCGTCTTTAAGATGTATATACACACACGCAATATTAGCCGTACGATATTAGCTGTTATTTTCACGACGTTGTGGTCGGTGCCGTATCTCTTCATCCAGGTGGAAGGAGAACCGCCAACTCCTGGAATAAAACATTCACTATACTAACGGTACTGATGACCTTATAAGTGCTCAAGAACGTCAATCCATCAGTCAGTTCGTTAGTCAATCAATAGTTCAATCAATCAGTGATGTGTACGTAAGCTTCCGCGGCTCGAATCCATGAATTCTCGGCTGTCCGGGAGACGCCGCGTCGTTGGCTGGGGTGCCGACGTTTCGCCCGACATTTCGCAGGCTTCCTCAGGGTAGTGACACTGCGGCGCTACGCGCCCGTTGATTTAAACTATCTTGCCTGGGCTCTCGGGAGGGGCAGGTGCGCTGTGATTGGCGGAGAGGTCTCCCTGATTGGCCGGCTGTCTGGGCCAACCTGGGACTGGCGCCGGAGGTCCCAGTGGTCGGACGGAGGTGAACAGTGGGCCTTGCGCCAGACGTCCCCGTAGTCGGACGGTGTTGAAGAGTCCCCTGCCGGTCCCGAATAGATATCAATAATCAATAATAGAATAATCAATCAGTGAATCAATCAGTCAATCAATAGGCCAATCAATCACTCAGGCTATCAATCACTCAATCAACTTGCATTCTTGTTGGTGTGTTGCAGCGGGCGGCGCGCCAGCGGCTGCCGCCCCCTAACAGCGCCCCCTGCGGCCCCTGCGCTCCGTGCATGGCCTGCTGTGGACGCCTGCCGCCGCGGCGGCATCGCGCCCTCTGAGGTGAGTACCCGCCTTCCCCTTCGCCTCTACCTCTACGCAAGAGCAGGCGACACTCGACACGCAAGTCGTTTATCGACTTGGCGCGACCAAATAGAAGAAAGGGAAGTCACACAACGGCGGGCGTCCGTTAAGGATTTAAAAGTACGTTGAATGTTAAGAACAATCGAAACAAAAGATTTTTAGCCGAAGGTGACTTAAATGGACACTTCCAAGAAATTGTATTCCTTTTTTATGTACTTTTTCTCATAAGCTTATTGAATTACGAAAAATATTGAGCTACACACTGCTCATAACTTATAACAGACTATGTTTAGTATTTGCTGTTTGTGAATCCAATGACGTTACTAGCTAGTTTTATATCCCTCGTACCATATATTTTATTTTCTACCAATATTTAACAATTTTGTAGTGTTTTAATGTTATAATATCAGTTACTAACCTTCAAATTGTCTCTTAAGATTTTTTTGTATAAGAATGGAAAGCCAAATACTACATTTTAAACAAGTAAGGAAAAAATGTGATTTAGTTCTAACATGTAAGCACAGTAGTTTAATGCAATTGTGACCCAATACAAGCTGAACACAGTACGTTCTGAAAATAACTCAGATTTATTTCTAACAACAATTTTGTTGTAATACATATTGGCATAATGCAAACATTTTCAGAATACCGTATGTTGCGTATGAGTTACTAAAATCACATGTGTCTAAAGTGTTTGCAATGCACACACCCCGCATGGTATGCATGGAGTTGATATTGAACCTCTACTCGATTAGTTACAAATATTCGGTCAGTAAATAAAGAACGGCCGCGTCCGCAGATTGCGGACCTTTGATATTGCTGGTGTACGTCGCGCGTGCGTGGCATGCAGGAATCACGTACGCTAGCACTCCACTCGTATTTCGATATTACTCTTGGCTTTTGTGCTTGTGCGGACGCGCACTCATGGTTTGAATAATCATTAAACAGCTGCGGCATACTGCATGTCCCTTCATCAACTAAAATCTGTAATAACAGTTACAATATTAGGGCCGTTAAATAACCCAGTTTTGTTCATATATAGGATGATGTGAATTATTGATAGAATTTGGTGCATCAAGTATAAGGTAATTATGAAATGAAATTAGTTCCATTATTTAGAAATACAATGAATCTCTTTCTCAAAACTGAGACTAATTTTAATGAATAATATTATCTGATACGTTTGGGATTCAATATTTCTGATTGAAATCTTGCCAACATCGAGAGAGAAGCTTCTTTATTTTCCTAGTGTGAGATACGCAAAAATATAATCAGCATATGATCTTGTAGGAACAGCGTATTCAGAAAGTTACAAGTTAGATATGTCACCCAATTAAGAATCTCGAACTATCAACAATTTGCCCTTTTACTTTCTTGCCATACTACATAATTTCATTGTAAAGAGATACAATTGTAATGCTTCAGTACCAAGTGTCGATCTTTGTATCTTTGTCTAATACGAGTATTATGAGGCCCTGATGTCTAAAACTGGATAAATCTTCTTCCTGTAGTAAATTATTTTCTCCAAAAACCTGTGTAATATGTATACAAGTTTTGTGGGTACTTGATACAGGCAAACTTGTTTTTGACAAAGCGTGTCTCGCCATCTATCCAACTGTGCACAACGCTAGCGACAAAATCTTTCTGGCGATTTTCTTCAATTCTTATGTTCACCGATCGCTTTGAAAGAACTCAAGTCTCAATTTGAAATGAATTTGAATGAACTTTGGGAGGTTATTTTAATAAAGCCTCAACTGCATTTTCAAACATTTATCAAAAAGGCTTTAAATGTGTGAATTTATGATTTTGTAGAACAAATAACACTTAAAAAGATGCATGTCTGCCTCACTTTCGTTGAAATCTCTGAATTTTCTTAAATGCTAAAAGTTGCATGTTTATACGGTGTTTTCCTATTACGAACACAATATGTTTTCTTAATAAAATCTGTTCTTCAAACGAATATATTTAAATAAACCGATGTATAATCTCTTCGAAAATGAGTAGTTTTTGCATACTTTTTCATGAAATACAGGCAATTATCAAGCAATACTTTTTTGCTAAAAGAACTCAAAATTTTCCGTTTTAATTTTTTTCTCTGGTAGAGCATTCGCATAAAGTAGTACTGATTTAATTTTTGGAGATCTCTAGCAATTTTCAAAAGTTGCGAAAAGTTAACATTGCTAAAGTAGAATATCGATGATATAGATTTTTTTCTTTAAAGAAACCTGTTCTTAAAAAATAGATCTTTATATACAATTTTTATCTTTTTGGGGTGAAATAAAGACAATTTACAATTTTTTCTCAAGAACGCTCCTAAAGTATCTTATTTTTTCCCTCTGAAGACTGATTTTTTTCCTGCCACTTAAAAATTTACCGGGTCTCATTTTCGTCGAATCCTTTGAAGTTTTAAAAATTGGAAATATTTCAAATTATGCGAGAACATATATGTTGTTCCATCACCATTAGTTACTTTCTTATTCTACCATGTTTTACTAATACTTTTGTTTCATTCGTAGAAACAAAACAGTTGAACGGAAAATTTTTTTCATATTAAGTTCAGAAAAGTTAGTGGAACTAAAAGTCGATGTGGCTATGTGTTCGTTCTCTATTTTTGCTTTCTCCTATTTCATTTCTGAGGTCCCGGAACGCCGTTCCTTTGTTTCCCACTAGAATTCAAGCTCTGTATTTATACGAGGGTACATGTATAGGGCATGATATATTTATTTTCCAATACGTCATTTTTATTTCGTTACGAAAAATTGATTGTACCATATTTTCAATTAGATGCACTCTATTCTTGCATTATCTATTGAAATTTGTTTTGTCCGTTTTTGTATACTTTGTTGCCAAGTTGAAAATCAAGAAGCAACATCGTAAGAATATAAATCGAGATAAATGTAATATAAGTCACTAGTGCAGAAATCGTAAGTTTGTTACTGCTTGTCAAATATTTAATGACTATTTTATCTGAAAGTCGTAAATGAAAATCTTTAGATGTCCCTTGCTTTAAAGATACAGCAACCTTATAGAAATCCTGGCTTTCAAAACTATTGAGTTCACTACAGAATATCAAGAAGAATCTCTCAAAATATATTTTTTTTTAGTTCCAGCATCTGTACAGCGACGTTGATTACTAATAAATCCCAGAAAAATCTCTAAATAGTCATGAGATATTAAATGTGGTTTCCACTTGCGTAAAGGTCCACGAAACGTTATTGAAAACACGCGACGCTTTTTATGAACTTTTATGCAAACATGCGTTCGATTCCCCACTTGATAGGAGTAGCTGTCAACAGATGTTCATCTCAGCTGAAAGCCCTTTAAGCTAACTGCGCGCAATCGCCCTCGACCATGTCCGCTACGGCGGTCGCGCGGTGTTGCGCAGGAAACCGTCGTCGGGTTGGGGCGGGGCGGAGGCTGGCGGGGGGAGCGGAACGGGCCGAAGCGGGGCGGGTGGCGGGGCTGGACGGGGTGCGGCGGGCGGGGCGGAGCCTGGCATGGCGGAACGGGACAGGGGGGAGGCGGGGCGCCGGTGGCGGAGCCCGGGGCTGGCCAGGCTGCCCGCGGGCGGGCATGGCGGGACGGGGAGGCGGCGGCAGCGGTGGCGGCGGCGGCGAGGTGTTAATTGGGCGGTCGTTAGCACGCAAGCGACCCGCGTCCTCAGCCCCGCGCAACCCACGCCGCCGCACGCGCGCGCTCGCGTGCAGCCAGACACGCCACCCGCAGCACACGCCCCGCGCACGGCGGCACCGCCGCCTCAACCGCCGCTGCCGATACCTCAGCCCATACGGGTCTTTGTGGCCACCACTGCAACCTCAGCCACCACCTTTGCTATTGCTGAGCGTCTGTTGTCACAAATGCCACAACCATCAGTACCGCCACTACTGCTATTGCCTCACTAACAGTCATTCCATCTCTATCACTTACATTACCTTAACCTCTCATCTTCTACGTCACTTTCATCAGCACCACTTTCATCGCCGCCGCTTTCATCACTACCAGTTTCATCACCACCATTTCATCACTACTACATTATCACTACCACATTCATCATTACCACTTTCGTCACCACCACTTCCTACATCACTTTCATCATCACCAAATTTATCACCACCACTTTCTTCTTAGCTGTTGTTACTACCTCTACCACTTCCAATGTTCTGACTCCTTCCATTATCATCCACATTGCCCTTCATCTCGAACGCTTTCACCAGTTCTCCCACTATAGTCTATCCTTCAACAACTTTCTCGCATTCAACGCTGATACTAAAACTACCAACAAACGCCAGTTAGCGACTCAGATAAAAATATTCCCTCGTAAATCGACAGCGATTCTCTTTCATCACCTCCATTGTCATTCTGCAAGTAATTGCCGATTTAGACTGTAACAATGCTGCTACAGTGTCTGCAATATCGCAGTGATACCCTTCCATGTAGCTGAATTTAACGTATTCGTTTAAGAACATTCTGAAGTTGATCCAGTTCCATCAGTCTGTATCTTAATGACACGATATTGTAGACAGGTGTGGTAGTGCAGTACATGTAAGTATAAATGTGTGTTAGGGGAGAGGACAGGACAAAAAAAGGAAAGGTAAATCTCGCGTGGTCCTTTTATTAGTCTACAGCTCCAACATTCACCTGATTTTCTTCTGAAAAACAACGCAAAACCTATTTATCAGAGCAGGCGGCCGCTAAATATCTTCTAGAGATCGGCTAAATTCAACCTCCCAACCTAATGTCGAAAATTCTGTTCCTGTCGGAAGTCTCACCCTAAGGCCTTCCGTTAGAAACACTGCAGGGATAGCAGCTATTGTTCAGAATTCCTCAACCGGTCTAGGATGGTTGGAGCGAGTGAATGGTAGTTGCATGGGGCCAATCATATAACCCAGGCAGGTCTAGTTGTATTTGGTGACGATAGTTGAGGTGAGGCTAATAGTAACAAAGCAAGTCCAGTTGAAGCGATGTGAGCCAATTAGAGT